TTTTATTGACTTGAATCTTTTCGATTTCTGTTTTCTTCCTTGAAAAAGAAACTCTTGAGTCTTTCCTTTTCTTTTTCCTCCCACCCACTGCCAGTTCCTGTTCTGTATCAATCAATTCGTCACCGCTTTCTCTAAGCCCATCGAATAGATATAACACTATTTTTAGAAAAATAAGGAAGGCCATAAATTACAAGACAAATAAAACCCGGGTTATTCTCCATTTAAATTTTCTTATCAACTTTTCGAGTTTATAACTGCTCGCACGCGTATCGTCCATGAGAAATATCCTTTCAAACGCCTTGCTTGAATGAAGTCAGATGGAGGCGAATGGCTTTACTTTTTGGCGTTTATCATTTACAAAAATAGTGCATGATATTTTGAAAAGTTATGGTAACATTGATTGTCTATTTTAAGACTCACAAATGTCATTTGTGTATATCGGGATTTGAGATTAAAATTAGCCACAGATTTGTCATATGCCTTTTTATTTTAACCGGAATTTTTAATATGTAAAGGATTAATTGTTCCAAGAAGTGGCCTTCAGATTATAATGATCTCTAAGCGATAATATTGCATCACAGTTAAAATAGAAAACCTTTTCGTTCTTTTTCCGCCAAAATTTGTGCGATAATAGAATTAGTATTCCTTTACGCACTAGTCAGATTGTAGAGGAACGTGTGGGTTTACGTGTTGTTAAATTAGGAACACGTGCTGTTTATTCCTGCTAGAAGAAGGTCCAACTACAAAACTCAAGTCAAAAACTTTTCCTTTATATGATCCGTACAACGTCTTCGTGGAATAATTAAGATATAAAAATTCTGATTGTATTTATACCAAATCAACTGGAAGTTATCACAAGAAAAATATTAATTAAACAATATATTTTACAAATATATAATTTGAATTTATTGCATATAATTTTAGTGAAACAAAGTACTAATATTCAACGTGATGAAATTAATATAATGAATATTATCAATGATAACAGTTTTAATCTGCATAATAGCCTTTTAAATAATGACAATAGGTATATAAAAGTTACTAAGCTAATAGGAGTTGCCAGGTAGCTAATTTCAGCCGACTATCGCGATTTTTAAGCCTACATATGTCATATAAGACACACGGGAATTTTAAAAGATATTTTTTAGTAAAACAAAGTGCGTCTTATATCCCGTCAATTACGGTAATAAACACGAACGACTGGAATAAATGCGAAGTCTTGCCTGACAAAAAAAAAAGGGAGGGCATTCTTCCTCTCTTTCACAATTCCTGTCGTTCAGAAATACCAAACTCATTTAATTTGGTTTTGTAGCATAGTGGGTTATCAGTTATAGTGAAGTGTATGAGTGTTGAAACAGATTAGTTTGATTTGGTCTTAGTTAGATAGCCCACCATAAGAGAGGTATAAAACAAGAAAATCAAATTGTAAAGTGAAACAACAAATTTATATGCATATAAATCTATTAAGGTCTCTACAAATAAAATTAATGTATTTTGGTTGATACAAAGTCGTCAAAATGTTCGTAGTAGTCCTTGCAAGAATGAGTTTATGTGTACGTAACCAGGAACGTATGTATGTATGTATGTATGAGCGTTATCGTAGGGTGTGAATGTTTTTGAAGTAATCGCTCAGTCTTAAAATGTTCCGTTCGTTTATCAAGTATAAAAGAGGTGAAAGAGAAAGGTGGAGATAATAATAATGATCGCTTGACGTTTGTCAAGGGACGTGTTAATACGCTCGTCTCCTTCTCTCTGATGACAGGCGAACTTGTACGTCTTTTATTTTGTTTGTGGGGCTTGAAAATGTCATTTGGGAATTCACTCTCGGATATGATTCGGGCTTTTCCATTGGACGATGAATAAACCTCGCGTCGGCTCGTGAAAAGGTCCGTATAAAAGAATTTTGTTTCTGAGAATTGAAGATTATTTGAATTTTGTTTTTAAATGTTTCCTAGTTTTCTATTGACCGAAAAACATTTCGCATCAAGGTGTGAAATTTCCCGAGTTTTGTTTTGGATTCGCTTTTGCGTGTGTGTTAAGCAAAGTTTGTAAATTCGAGTCTTTTTAATTTCTAACAAAATCAATGAGTCAGTGCTTAATATTTGAATTTTTAAATCTAGATCTTGTTTTGTTCACTACTCTAGTTCCGTGGCCTCTGGCTAGGAACCTGTCCTTCGCATTCATAACCTCTCCACGAGGCCAGAGGCCAGAGGCCAGTTGCTTCCTTGTTGAGAAACCGCTGTCCCTGAATTTTCATTACAGAGCTTAAATGCGACCCATCATATCAGGAATTAAGACTAACGATAGCGATAGCAAATATCTTAACACCAGTTGTTTACATATTAAAAATTACGACGACCTGGTTTAAATATGGCAAATGTATTTGTATGTATCTGTAAAAGTTTTTTTTTCTTTTTTTTTTTTCAGATTTAACCAGAAGAGTGACACTAATCGATTTGCAGTCGTGGCTGGGTCAGCATATTTATGTCGTCAATCCCACCCCTTTTGCTCCCATCCCTACACATCGATTCGGTCCTAAATCTGTAACCAGTTCACTTAGGACCATGTTACTCCATGTGTGTGCGTTACTCTTCCTAGTCAATTCATGCTTAACCGTGGATCTCACCTACCGAATTCAGGAAGAGAAAAGTCCTGGCACCTACATTGGTGACATCGCTGCCGATACACACCTGATGGACAGCGTCCCTCTGCAGGACCGAAGACTGATACGGTTTAGTCTTCTCGAACCCGACGTAGCTGATGTGCCACAACTTTTTCGGGTGTCCAAGAAAACGGGTAAGCTTTATACAACCCAGACACTTGATGCCGAATCACTGTGCGCTTACAATTCCGAGTGTTACCGAATTATCCACCTGGCTGTACGGAGAGTTAATTCATTCATCCGAATTCTAAAAATCAGGGTCATCGTAATGGATATTAACGACCATCAACCGGAATTTCCGAACCAAAATATTGACATTCAATTCTCAGAAGGAGACTGGAAAGGAAAAAAGAAGCTGATTCCGAATGCCTTGGACAAAGACATTAGCGTTCCAAACTCGCAGATCACTTACCAACTGCAGAAAGACATGAACCAACCATTCACTCTGTCAGTCTCTGAAAGCGTAGACGAGACGTTTGATCTTCGGATTGCTCTTGAGGAGAGGCTTGACCGGGAAGTCAAGGACTCCTATTTGATTCAAGTAGTCGCTACTGATGGAGGGTCACCACCCAAACAGAGTGTCCTCGACGTCCGGATATTGGTGACCGATGTCAACGATAACCCGCCCGTCTTTTCTAAAAACGTCTACAACATCTCCGTGAAAAACGAAAACTATGGCGTAACACCGATCACCATTTTGTCGGCGTCGGATCTTGATGCTGGAAAAAACAGGCTGATTACTTACCATTTCAGCTCCAAGACTTCACGAACGGCAACAAACCATTTTCAGTTGAATAAGCTAACTGGCGAAATTTTCTTGCAGAAGACGTTCGCTTCCGGTCAGAAGCTCTCTCACAAACTATACGTGAAAGCTACGGACGGGGGTAGCCCTCCACTTAGTTCCGTCGCAATAGTTCTTGTTAACGTGATAAGCCAACAGAATAACGCGCCAACCATCGATGTAAACTTTGTGTCCTCTTCGACAGAGAACAAAGCCACCATTTCCGAAGATATCGAAGTTGGCAGTTTCATGGCTTATGTTAAAGTTACTGACCACGATGCTGGCAATAATGGCGAGGTTACTTGCGGTCTGTACCATGATAAATTCCAGCTTGAAATTCTAGGTCCAAAGGAATATAAAGTAACAGTTAAAAGCCCCGTAGACAGAGAAATCGAAGACCAGCATGACTTTACGATAAGTTGTCAGGATAAAGGTTCCCCAACACAACATACTGAAAGCAAATTCTCTATCGAAGTAATTGACGTTAATGACGTTCGTCCGCAGTTTTTAAAAGAAACATTCAAATTCTGGATTTATGAGAATCAGAAGTCAAATTTCCCTGTTGGTTATATCAATGCGTCCGATCCAGACCAGGGTCCCGGCGGCAAACTTACGTTTTCTCTGCCGACAGAAAAGAATCAGTTTTTGCCTTTTCAAATCACGGATAGCGGACTGATTTCCACTGTTATATCACTGGATTATGAGTTTCATAACATTTACAAGTTCCCGGTATTCGTTGAGGACAACGGGATTCCATCTCTCAACAATACGGTAAGGGTTGTGATTCAGGTTAAGGACAAAAATGATAACCCCCCTTATTTCATATTCCCTGGCATAAATCCTTTTCAGATGGACGTGGATTATCATCCGTATCATCCGAATAACATCACCGTGCTGAAAGCTTCCGATAGCGACAGTCGAGAGAACGCCTTCCTTAAGTACAATATCGTTTTAGGCAACGACAAACAATTGTTCTCCATTAATCAATACACCGGCTTGCTTTACTTCAAACACGCGATAACTCAGCAAGACGCCGGGTCGTACATACTGCAGATTACAGTCAAAGACAGTGGTATTCCAGTCTTGTCAGCTACCACCACTCTATCTCTGAGACTAACTGTTAACAATAAAACATCGGAGATATTTAACACCGTCCACCTGAAACCAGACTATCAGGTCCATATGTATTTGCTAATAACCGTTGTGCTCGTTGCCGTCACCGTGTCTGTACCTCTCACGGCTGCCATTTCAATCTGCATCATTCGTTGTTATAACCATAGGGATGCACCTCTTCGGGAGAATTCGAGTCTTTCATGCAAATTTGTAAATGAGCAAGAGAATTTGGTCTGCCGTTCCCAGCTCGCCATTAGTTGGCCTGATGTGCCAATGGCTCTGAAGACGGATTTGAATGTGGCTTGGAATTCTTTGCCAAATAGACCGAAACAAACATTTCATCCAGCCGACGAACTAGCCAACAGTCCAGTACTCACTACATTAGGAATGAAAATCCACACTGCCCGGGAAGTCACCTACGAGGTAATTTTTATTTACTTTTAAATGTATAGTTGTTGCTAAATAAACCCATCACATTTACCTTGATAAAGTCCGAACGGCGAAACGCGTCGGCTAAACTAAAAATAAAATTTTAAAAAAATTAAAAAAAATACTTTTAATGTTAAATGTTTTGACATTAACACATTAAACGCCAAAAGGACGTCAATTAAGGTAACGTCCCCCTTTCTTAAATTCGCGCCTTGTACTCATTTTGTTCTCTCTTCATTGTTGTGGTTAATATCTGCTTTCAAAAGATTCTATTTAATCCCCGGAAGAATCCCACTATTATATTCTTGGTTTACACATCTCAGCGAAAAGAATCTGTGTTAAAGATTTAATTTTTTTTTTAAACAAATATCTAATCATTTTTATTACTTTGTTATAGCCAAATATTTTACAAGTAGCAGTGGCGTAACAACGATTAATTTGCTTCTATCGACACTAAATAAGAGCAGGTTCGATCCTCACCTACTATTTTAGAATGTCAGTTTTACCAGAGTAACAAGATCAAGCAAATAACAATTATCAATTTTTAACAACTATTTCTATCTCATTTATATCACCGAAATCCCTAGATCGTTCTTCTACGATCTTTAAGTACGCATTTATGAACTAGAAATAAACAAGCTTCCGGGATTAAGGATATGGACTTAATCCATTAAGCTCATCGTAGGATACAATATTAATTACAGAAAATTTAAAAAAAAAATCCGGTATTAATTACAGGTTTTTTTAAAACAATTTCACCTCAAACAAGGCGATAATGCCACTACGACTCAAGGGGATATTCGAAGTGAAAGAAAAAAAAATCGGAACCGGAAATCTATTGCATGTAGGACTAGCATTGTGTTTGACTTGTTCTCCCAGTTTTATTTGCAGGTAAACTCCAGGAAATGATATAATCTCATAGATCCTAGGAACAGTAACCTCAGAAGCCCTGCAGTCGCTACTTACTCAAGCTCAGACCATGAATAAAAAATGCCCGTATATTGGAAAAAAATGTTTAAATCATCAATAGATGGCATCTCAACGTTTAAGGGTTAAAATAATTATTTTAATCAATTCAAATACCTTTTAACAATTTTTAACAAGTATTTCCATCTAATTTATATCACCGAAAACCCTAGATCGTTCTTCCAAGACATTTAAGTACGCATTTATGAACTAGAAATAAATAAGCTTCCAGGATTAAGGATATGAACTTAACCCATTAAGCTCATCGTAAGATACAATATTAATTACAGAAAAAAAAATCCGGTAATTACAGTTTTTTTTTTTAAAAATCATTTCACCTCAGACAAGGCGATAATGCCCCTAAGACGCAAGGGGTTATTGGAAATGAAAAAAAAAAAAAAAAGACCGGAACCGGAAATTCATTGTATGTAGGACAGTGTGTGTTTGACTTGTTCTTGCAGCTTTATTTGCAGGTAAACTCCAGGAAATGATATAATCTCATGAATCCTAGAAGCATTAACCTAAGAAACACTGCAGTCGCTACTTACCCAGACTCGGAACATGAATAAAAAATGTCCGTACATTGTAAAAATGTTTAAATCATCAATAGATGACATCTCAACGTTTAAGGGTTAAAATGATTATTTTAATCAAGGCAAGTTGATAACGCCACTAAGAGGTAAGCGTCTACCGGAAGTGAAAGAGACGGAAAAGACTTTAGAAAGAACTCGAAATCCAATACTAAACAGCAGACTAAGGATAAAACACCTACTCCTAACCAAAAGACCGGGGAGGAGTATGAACCGGAAGTTTACAAAAATCCATTATTATTATTATTATGTTTCTATATTTCCATTAATTCCCATCTTTGTGTTTTTGGGGATGGTCGACATTAATGGATTGAATTTGACTGGAGGTGTGTTTATTAGTTTTCTTTTTAAATCAGTATTATTTTAAATCATCCCATGCAAGGCAATAAAGCCACTAAGACACAGGGGGGTTACCGGGTGTAGAAAATTCCGGAACAAAACATTAATAATGGGCGAGGAGAGAAAAGAGTAACCAGAAGGACAGCGATTGACATTGCATTTACATTTTTGCGGATTAAAGTTGGCTGGAAATCATGGAGCCGGAAGTGAGTTCCACAAGCGAGAAGTGCTTATCATAAAATTTACAGTTATATCTAGCCAGCTCAACTGTAAGTTGATGAGATCGTGACACCAGTTTATTCAGTATGTTATGTGCCATGCGTAATACATGCTTAGGCGATCATGTATCTTTCGATACATGACTGACGAGGCAATTTTTGCTATTTCTTTCTGCGGTAGACCAGTTGCCATCCAAGGATACAGAATCCGGTCTGTCCTGCTATTTACCCATAGCTGGTGGGGGGAAGAAGAAGAGGATCCATACCTTTCTCAAGGGTATTAGCACGTAAGTGAATGTAATGGATTCGACTGGAATTCGAACTCGGCTCTGCGATTCCGCAATCCGAGCCGCTATCCATTATTGCTGCGTTTAAATTCGAAAAATCTAGGTACCATAGTGAAGAGCATTATTTATTTGTAAAATATCAAAATGTGGCACAAGGCCAAAATGGGGAATGGGGAAAAAGAACGGTCTTGTTCTGTCTTAAGGTTAAACTTAGCTAGCCACAAACACTGACCCTAACATACCACAATATTCCTTACATCAAAACAACGCATTCTTATTTACCATTCTTTGTTCATCTACCATAGCACCTCTGATTATCCATGAAGTTCTAACTAGTCCTCATATTTACAATTGATAGTCTTGGGAGGGGGGGATAAACAACAACAGTGAAGAGCTCATCTGAACAATTACCATGAAAATATTTATAGAAAAGGCACAGGGAGGTAACCTTCCGGTGGTGGGAAAGTGACTGAAGCCGAGCCGCCAGATCAGGGCCAATAATATTGCTGATTCTTCTTTGGATCTTATCAAGGAGCTCAAGGTGACTAGAAATGCGCTCTTTATTTTACGATCGTAGCACGACGATCTCGATGTGACGATGTAAATTCAATAAAACGTGAGAAAATAAATACAAGTGAAAAAAAATTGACAATGATTTGTCCAAGAAATTCTATTGTCTTAAATCTTCTTCTTTACGTGCCATGTTCTTTCACGACGTAGGCGATCATGGCTCTTCACCTCCCTCTATCCCTTGCAGCTCTCAGCAAGCTCCTTCCCTCTGCTTTCTCTCCCAGACCACGTTCTGTCATCCACCTACTCAAGTTCATCAGGTATGTCACGCTGCTTTCCGTTGTCTTTCTTTCTCTCTATTCGACCCGTGAGTATCAGATTCTCCAGGCCCTCTTTCCTCATTATGTGTCCCAGAGACTTCAGTTGCCTCTTTCTGATGTTAAGTATAAGCCTCCTCTTCAGTAATCCCACATATTTATCTTAAATTAGTTTTACAGTGGCAGAAATATTCAATAATCTTCAACTTTAAATCTTTAATTTTATCTTTGTAAATACATTTTATTTTAGTAATCTTTCCAAAACGGAAACAGTTTTGTGTGATATCTGATCCAGATGATTCGCGACAGAATTTTACAAACAATTTCTTAGTACAATCGAAGAGAGTCGCTAATTTGCAGGGAATTCAGTTCATTGGCTTCGTTTACTGCAGAAAGGCATTGAAAGGACAACCGAAAAGGTGAAATCAACCAACAATGACTGCTCCCTTTAAAACTACAAGAGGCGAGTCATTGGCGAGAAGCAAAATAGCAACAGAAGATTCAATCAGTCAGTTATGTGCCATGCGTAATACACGCTTAGGCGATAATGCATCTTTCGATAAATGACTGACGAGGCAGATTTTTCCCGCAGTAGGTTGCTATTTCTTTCTGCGGTAGACCAGTTACCATCTAAGGCTATTCACCCATAGCTGGGGGTGGGGGGAGAAGAAGATGATTCATACCTTTTCCAAGGGTATTAGCACGTATAAAAACATGTTACCTTATTTGTGTTGTATATAATGCATATATTTGCATTTTTCATGGTGTTATTTTAGAAGGTATTCGTTTTTGGTTTTTGATTTTTAAATAACATAGTAAAATTTTGTTTTTTTATTTAATTTAAATTAATTTTTTTGTTTATTTTTATTTTAGGGGAATTTGTTATCTTATTTGTATAGTTTAAAATATTGGCTTTATATAAAAATATGCGTTGTAACCCAGAGAGGTTTACTGAATGAGGATTAGCCAAAATGGAGGTTGGAAATGAAATGGTAATCTTTATAACATCAACAAAATACAATACTCGCCAGTGGCGTGAAGTAGGTAAACCACTGCTAGTTGTGGACTACTTAGACAGCATATTGCCCCCACTTACAATAGTGTCCAACGTATTTATGATGATTGTGATATACCCATTAGTGTTCATAGGTACGGTATATAACAGTTTTGAACATGTTTATTCGTCCATATCTGAAAAAGACAAAACCAGCACTGAATGTCAAATGTTTCCTTATAAGGAAATAATATTACCATTACCATTTATCTCTTTTTGGCTGCATCTGATGTGCTATCAAAAAATTCTGGGATTTCCTAAATGTTAACATATTTTCTTGAGTATGAAATCTCGGGTCCTCTTTCACCATTTTATCTCTTTCAATAATGGATACCCGACTTGAGAAACTTATTTTCCTGAAAAATTATCTTTAAGAGAAAGATTTTGTAAATTTTACCAAAAGCAGTGCTGGTGACTTGGCAAATGACTGCCAAATATTTCCTTGGAGGTAAATGGCTTACCATTACCATCACCATTTTATTGGTTTGTTTAAGAGGAGGTGGAATTGGTAAATTGAGTTACTGTTCATAGGTAAGGTATATAACTGTGCAATGTCGACATCTTGATGATGTCATTATTTTCTTTTCGAGTTGCCTGTGCTATCCATTTTAGTTGTTGCTGCTGTTGAAAGTCTTCAAATGATGTGGTTTCTGTTATTTGGTACAGGTCTTTGTTTGCAATTTTGTAGCAATGTGAGATATTTTTTTTAAAAAATAAGCGATAAAAATGAAAAC